CGCGCCCTGCCGCTTGCTACCGACTATATTACAACATATGGAGAGCATAAACTTTTATGGCTACCCTTCTACCGTCGCCCTTCCTCCTCCACCGCCGCCACCTCCACCATCGCCACACCACCACCACCGCCGCCGCCACCTCCTCCACCTCCACCTCCTCCTCTTTCGCCTCCTCCACCTCCTACGGCTGGAACTCCTTCTCCTCCTCCATCGACCACCTTTCGCGTAACCCATCTAACGACCGGCTGCCTGTTTCTATCCTTCCCGCCCTCCCCCAAACCACTGTCCCTTGTCCACTCCGGTGCTTCCGCCAGTTTTTGCCATCATTCCCCCTGGCGACCCATTCGACCCTACTTTTTCCATTTCCCTTTTTCCGACTGGTGTCTACTTTTACTAATTACGAAACCAAGGAGTGGACACGGCGCGATCGTCGAATCCGATTCCGGAATCGTAACGACGGCTCTCGACGCTGCCGCGCGCGTTTCACAACCGTGATCCGCGCCGGGCTCTCTGGCACGGCTGTCCGATTCGCGTGCGAATGTTTTTTATTTTTATTTTTTTTTCGAAAAATTATAAAATTGTCCGTGTTCCCGCCGATCTATCGACGTCGGTTAACGTTATCGGCTAACGCTGCTGCGACGGCTAACTCCCGTCGCGCGTCGCGTCGATACGTTCGACGATGGCAACACGCGAACATCTTGTTCGCGCGTTGCGAATCGACGCGCGATTGCTCGCATATTATAATTTACATTCGCGGGCACGGTGCAAGGACAATTTCGATGCGGACAATCGGCGTGCCGACAATACGAAACGTTAAATCATAATTTGGTTAATGTGGAATGTAATGTCGATGTTGGCGGAAGCGTCTCTAGATTCGTGTGCAGGGCCAGACAATGAGCGAGCGAGAACAAGAGGACAATATCTTGTTCCCTCGTTCGCTCGCATCCAGCTAGCGGACCGCGTGTATTCGGTTTAGTCGGCTAACTGGCACGCTCGCAATCGTACGCTCGCTCGCTCGCTTGCTCGCACGCCGCCACGTGCGCCTATGTAGAGTCTATACGAGGGATTATAAATCGCGGGCCAATGAGTGGCTTCCATTTGTTATCGCGGGGGCCGCCGGTGTTTCGCGTGGAAGCGCGACGCGCGAACCTATGCGATCCTACGCGACCCTATGCGACCCCGCGCGACTCGACGCGGACACGCTCGCTTTTGGTTCCGGTCCGTGCAAAATCGAGTTCGTTCTCGCGGATCCACGAAAAACCGGATCGAGCGGGAGCCAGAAGCGCGACGATCGCGACGATCGCAACGATCGTTGGTTCTCCTGCGACGAGAGTCCGCGCTTCGTCGGGCCGAGCGGAGGTTAGCGGGGCGATCTCTTTCGTCCGTGAAATCGCGATCGAACGTCCGATTTTAAATCTCGTAATCGCGGCTCCGAGCTGTGCGACCGTTGCCGGGTCAGGCGACGGAACGGTTGCGGAACGGTTTGCGGAACGGAAGGTAACGCGCGCTCGTATCGTCGTTCCCCTTTAACGTTAGATGTTGTCTCGGACGAGCTCGAGCGTATAGCCAGCTAATAATTATAAGTTAGAAACTTGCGAGGGTCGGCGTTTCGTGGGTTAGGAAAGGGGCGGTTGGGTCGACTATGATAGCGCAGGCTGCGAGGCGAGTGTTGGTCGCGGCACGGCGAGCGGACGCTATCGTGTTACGACGTTGTATTAATCTCCGTGCAGCTAGTATCGGCAGACACCGGTCCTCCAGTGGGTTACACCCGCTGTTTCGCTTTCCGGTAGCGGAAGGAAATTCGTGCTGCGACTGCTTTTAGGGGTTCGATGTCAGGAGACACTGCTGAACGTGTCGGGACACGTTTTGCGGCCCGGATCGGACCCGTGTACGTACCGTATCAGCCGAGAAGCGAACGCGTCGTCGTCGTCGTCGACGTCTCGGGAAACAAAACGCGAGGGCGCGGGAACGCAAAAGTCTGCGCCCAAGATTCACGGAACATCGCGATCTAGGAACGTCGGACGAGGACGGAACAGGCGAGAAGGATACGCGCGCCTACTCGATCGGATCGACGTACCGGCGCGCATAGGTTTCGATCGAACGATGCCGCGTGAAGCAGCATGCAGCAGCTCGCATCGAACTCTGTGCACGCACTCGTACAGTGCTTTGAAATCGCGAAACGGTCGAGCGGCGCGCATAGAGTTTCATCTTGGGAGATTACCCGAATCGTGATCAAAGCGAAACGACGAAGAAACGAAGCTTGCTAACGACGAGGCGAGCGGGGATTGGGAAAGGGGAGCAGAACCGGGGAAAATGGGGAAACGGGGAAACGGGGGAACCGGCGGAAAAGAGCGCGGCGGGTACGGTGGGCGGGAGAGAGGAGGGTGGGAGGGAGGGAGGGAGGGAGGGACGAGAGAGTAACAGGGAAAGGCGGAACGCTTCGGAAGAGTCTCAGTTGCAGCGGCGGTTATTCCGGTTTTTTGATATCGGCCGGTTTTCGCGGTGGTAGCAGTATCGAGCTAACAATTAATTATTGGCGGCGCTTCAGAGGGCTGCCGGCTGCCGTAGTTAAACATTACGCGTTCCATATCTTACTGTGCTATCTAATCCCCACAGGGACTCGAGCGCTACTGCAGTAATCTCGTTTAATTGCTGGCTGTAGACGCGAGAGTCCCGTTCAATTAGTTTTTCAAATAAACATTAGTTTCCTTAACACGCGGTGCCATAACGTGGCGGAGGATGAGAGAAGGAGGAAGAGTACGAGCGGCGGGAGAAGGGGCGGGAGGTGCAGAGCAGGAGGAGGAGGAGGAGGAGGAGGAGGAGGTGGAGGACGAGGACCAGAACGAGAACGAGAACGAGAGAGGGTATGGGAACGGGAATGAGGATGAGGAGGGAGTAGAAACAGCCGATAGCGGAAAGAAGATGGAAGCGCCGAAATCGACGGAGTACGACANACATCTTGTTCGCGCGTTGCGAATCGACGCGCGATTGCTCGCATATTATAATTTACATTCGCGGGCACGGTGCAAGGACAATTTCGATGCGGACAATCGGCGTGCCGACAATACGAAACGTTAAATCATAATTTGGTTAATGTGGAATGTAATGTCGATGTTGGCGGAAGCGTCTCTAGATTCGTGTGCAGGGCCAGACAATGAGCGAGCGAGAACAAGAGGACAATATCTTGTTCCCTCGTTCGCTCGCATCCAGCTAGCGGACCGCGTGTATTCGGTTTAGTCGGCTAACTGGCACGCTCGCAATCGTACGCTCGCTCGCTCGCTTGCTCGCACGCCGCCACGTGCGCCTATGTAGAGTCTATACGAGGGATTATAAATCGCGGGCCAATGAGTGGCTTCCATTTGTTATCGCGGGGGCCGCCGGTGTTTCGCGTGGAAGCGCGACGCGCGAACCTATGCGATCCTACGCGACCCTATGCGACCCCGCGCGACTCGACGCGGACACGCTCGCTTTTGGTTCCGGTCCGTGCAAAATCGAGTTCGTTCTCGCGGATCCACGAAAAACCGGATCGAGCGGGAGCCAGAAGCGCGACGATCGCGACGATCGCAACGATCGTTGGTTCTCCTGCGACGAGAGTCCGCGCTTCGTCGGGCCGAGCGGAGGTTAGCGGGGCGATCTCTTTCGTCCGTGAAATCGCGATCGAACGTCCGATTTTAAATCTCGTAATCGCGGCTCCGAGCTGTGCGACCGTTGCCGGGTCAGGCGACGGAACGGTTGCGGAACGGTTTGCGGAACGGAAGGTAACGCGCGCTCGTATCGTCGTTCCCCTTTAACGTTAGATGTTGTCTCGGACGAGCTCGAGCGTATAGCCAGCTAATAATTATAAGTTAGAAACTTGCGAGGGTCGGCGTTTCGTGGGTTAGGAAAGGGGCGGTTGGGTCGACTATGATAGCGCAGGCTGCGAGGCGAGTGTTGGTCGCGGCACGGCGAGCGGACGCTATCGTGTTACGACGTTGTATTAATCTCCGTGCAGCTAGTATCGGCAGACACCGGTCCTCCAGTGGGTTACACCCGCTGTTTCGCTTTCCGGTAGCGGAAGGAAATTCGTGCTGCGACTGCTTTTAGGGGTTCGATGTCAGGAGACACTGCTGAACGTGTCGGGACACGTTTTGCGGCCCGGATCGGACCCGTGTACGTACCGTATCAGCCGAGAAGCGAACGCGTCGTCGTCGTCGTCGACGTCTCGGGAAACAAAACGCGAGGGCGCGGGAACGCAAAAGTCTGCGCCCAAGATTCACGGAACATCGCGATCTAGGAACGTCGGACGAGGACGGAACAGGCGAGAAGGATACGCGCGCCTACTCGATCGGATCGACGTACCGGCGCGCATAGGTTTCGATCGAACGATGCCGCGTGAAGCAGCATGCAGCAGCTCGCATCGAACTCTGTGCACGCACTCGTACAGTGCTTTGAAATCGCGAAACGGTCGAGCGGCGCGCATAGAGTTTCATCTTGGGAGATTACCCGAATCGTGATCAAAGCGAAACGACGAAGAAACGAAGCTTGCTAACGACGAGGCGAGCGGGGATTGGGAAAGGGGAGCAGAACCGGGGAAAATGGGGAAACGGGGAAACGGGGGAACCGGCGGAAAAGAGCGCGGCGGGTACGGTGGGCGGGAGAGAGGAGGGTGGGAGGGAGGGAGGGAGGGAGGGACGAGAGAGTAACAGGGAAAGGCGGAACGCTTCGGAAGAGTCTCAGTTGCAGCGGCGGTTATTCCGGTTTTTTGATATCGGCCGGTTTTCGCGGTGGTAGCAGTATCGAGCTAACAATTAATTATTGGCGGCGCTTCAGAGGGCTGCCGGCTGCCGTAGTTAAACATTACGCGTTCCATATCTTACTGTGCTATCTAATCCCCACAGGGACTCGAGCGCTACTGCAGTAATCTCGTTTAATTGCTGGCTGTAGACGCGAGAGTCCCGTTCAATTAGTTTTTCAAATAAACATTAGTTTCCTTAACACGCGGTGCCATAACGTGGCGGAGGATGAGAGAAGGAGGAAGAGTACGAGCGGCGGGAGAAGGGGCGGGAGGTGCAGAGCAGGAGGAGGAGGAGGAGGAGGAGGAGGAGGTGGAGGACGAGGACCAGAACGAGAACGAGAACGAGAGAGGGTATGGGAACGGGAATGAGGATGAGGAGGGAGTAGAAACAGCCGATAGCGGAAAGAAGATGGAAGCGCCGAAATCGACGGAGTACGACAGAGCGTCGGCGAAAGGGACAGAGATGTGCGAGAAGGACTGGCGAAGGGGGTTGGCAGGCGACAGAGCGAGAAAGTTAGAGGGTAGCGTAGAAGGTGAAGAAGAAGAGGAGAATAGTTGGTGCAGTCGGAACGCGGGTCGGTGGTAGAGGTGATGGGTCTGCGGAGCAGCAAGCTGACGGTGGAGGATGCGCGGGGGCGTTGGTACCGGAGTTGGCGGAGGTGGCGGAGGTGGCGGAGGTTGGTGGAGATGGTTAGAGGGTGGAGAAACACTGGTGGAAGAGGAGTGCGCGGTGTCGTGGCCGCGGGGTAAGTAATTAACGACACATTTATACGATATCGCCCACGGGTGCGGCGCGGTGCGGTGCGGCACGGCGCGGCGTGGCATGGCGCGGCGCGGCGTGGCGTGGCGCGGCGTGGCGAGGCGAGGCGAGGCGAGCCGACCCGAGGCGTTAGGCATGGTATGGCGCGACGAGACTCGGAGCGCCGCGAAACGGTCGAGAGACACGAAACCGGTGCGCCGAGGAGTGCCGAGGCACCGCGCGGAACTAAGCGAACTAGGATCTCGTTCGCGTTCCTAGGAAATGCACCGCTAACAGGAAGCTACGCGTTCGACGATAAATGCATAACGTAGGTGGCTCGACCGATCGGTGACCAATTTGCGAGCTCGGCGAGCGTTCGAGATCGCCGCGGAATCGGATGGAAAAGATGACGCGACCGACGACGACCTCTCGCGAATCAAGATGCTCGCGCGATCGATGCGCGAGCGAGGAAAGACGCGAAGAGGTAAAAGCGACAGATCGCGGCGCGGCGGATCAAGGTTGACGCCGAGCCGAGGGGGGCGCGGGGAGAAGGTAAAGAGGGTTTCGACGGGACTTTTGCCTTTCGACGAATTGGAACGCGTTCGTTGCTCGCGCGGTTGGTTATGGTGATGCGGATTATTCACTAATATGATTTACGACGTATTACCCCGTCGTGCTAGCGCGCGCGACTCACAATGCGCACATAATGTGAGGCATAATTTATTAATTTTACTAATGGCTCCTGCCCATTATTATTGATTTCGGGCCGCGCCTCGTTCGGACGGGCGCTGATTTATCCCGGTCGTTATCGGCCCCATGTTAAATCGTCCGCGAACCAGGAGCCGCGAGAATACAATTCGACGATTCGTGTCCTTTTCCTTTTCCATTGGCCGTTATTCGAACGCTATAGTCGTTCGCGCTGGCGGATATCGATGGAACAGGCAGCAGGGGATATCCCTTCGTTCGTTTGCAGTCTCGCGCGTCATTGAAAAGCTGTTGTTTCGTTGCGCGGAAAGTAGAACCCGTTCCACTTTATCCCCTGCGCCGCCCCCCGTTTTCTAGTCTCGTTTCGCGTTCTTTCCTTCTTTCCTACGCGCCGCCGAACCACCCGCCGCGGCCCCGCTCCCTGCCCCCGCCCCTGCCCCGGCACCGACCCTTTCGCCAGCGAACACGAGTGACCGGAAAATTCAAAGGAAAAAAGGAGAAACGGAACATCGCGTCGAGTGCATCGATAACGATCTAGACACCACGTTGCTCGAATGGCCGCGCCGACACGATATTAAAACATTAAAGTAATATACGAGCTCGCGCAAGAACGAGAGGCCACGGTTGACGCGATCCTCTGCTCCCGTAATATCTCGTCCCCTTCTTCTAATACCCTATTCACCGGATCCGAGCTTAACCGCTCGTTTCCCCGAGCGTTCCGCGATGCCGGGTCGCTCCGTCACTTGTTCTCGACCAGGACGATCGTTTTCGCGCCGGGCTCCGCACCCAAGAAACGAAACGAACAAGCTGTGTGCAGGATGTGCGGGATGTGCAGGATCTGCACGCGATCGGCCGGGGGTTGCTTGGTAACTCCCAAGGTCCGGGCGTCGGACAAAGTTATCCGATGCGTGACAGGTGTCGTTTCACGCCGCGGCACGACGCGACGCGTTCTGGAACGCGAATGGACTCGTCGGTTTTTTTTTACCTAAATAACGTCGAAAATAAATGCTCGTCGGGCAGCATGGCTGACGAGACGAGACGAGGCAAAGCGGGACGAGACAGGCGCGTGTACGATAAAGGAGGCATTATATTACTCCCGGCCGATAAACCTTTGATGATTCCGTTTGAAGTTGGTTCCGAGGAAACGGCGGCAGAGGTGGATGCAGGAATACAAGGTCTGGTGCGCGGTGTTAGGAGTACTGTCACCCTCGACTTGGCCGGCAGAGAGAAGGGTGAGCTCTCACAGAGAGATTACACGAACCTCTCGAGTACCGAGCTCCAGCTACGTTAACCGCAAGCCGGACAGCCATTATTAGCAGGTACCTTGTGCGCGAACCTCCGGTAAGCCGTGCATCGTTGAATAATTAGAATGGTGCACGACTACTGCCAACCGCCGCGTCTAAACACCCACGAAACGCGCTGCCGCTCTCCTCGCCAGAGGTTCTCCTCGCCAATGCTAGATACGCTGCTCCCGATATCAAAGGCGCTACACTCTCTATACGCTCTAGACTCTAGACTCTTATAGTCTTACGCTCTATACCTATACTTTGCGCATCGCAGAGGAACGTTGAGCGGCTCGGCGAGGATCGCGTTCTCCTCTCGTTCGCGCCGCCTCACCCTCTCGCCGCCTTCCTTTCTTCATCCGTTGACCCTAGCAGGAGGAACGCAGTTCTCACTCGAGACCCAGTTCTTACGCCGGCAAAAATTTGTTCGTCGGAAATAGCGTGGCGCCTCGGCGAGGTCACCTCTGCGGACCTCCGCGAGGTCCGTCCTCCGAGGGTGAAACAGCTTCGTTACTTTCTCGCGCGAGTTCGACCGGTCTGAACTAGAATCGAACGAGAAACGGCGACGCGCGGCGCACAGCGTTTACCTTGGTCGTTTGTTTCTCGTCTTTCTTTCGGTGGCAGGACACGCGACCGTTGGTCGAACGTAGCCGGGCATACCGTCGGTGCGTCACGAACGAATGTAACGATCGTTTGAAACGTTCTCTTTGATCCCGCGACGCGAGGGGGTTCGGGGGCAAAAAAATGACTTTCTCCTGGCGGACGTTCGCTCGTTTCTCCCGATGACCGGGCTCCCCGGTGGAAAAAATTCCATTAGAGTGCCAATAACCAGCGAGTGCCGTGCGCGGGGGCGCGCCAAGTTTGACGATTAATTATCGTCGGAGCGACGCGTGTTTGATGTCGAAGGAAAACGTTAACGGGGCCCGATTGATCGGTTAATTTAAAGGGACGGTAAGACGATAGGAACGGGACGGTAGACGGCAGACGGCAGACGGCAGACGGCGGACGGCAGACAGCGGACAGCGGGGTGAACAGGGAGAAACAGGGAGGACAGAGGGAGGACAGAGGAGGACAGGGGCGCGGATAGCCGTACACAGAAGTGGACAGAGCTGGACCCGGAGCGAAGGGGAAGAGTTACACCGAGTGCGAGTGCGAGTGCGAGGTTGGGGTTGGGGGGGAGTCTGGGGCGGTGCGGCTGGTGCGGCTGGTGCCGGAGGTGCAGGAGGCGCGCGCGGGAGGTACGAGGGGATCGAGAAATCGGAGGATCGGGGATCGGGGGATCGGGGGAAACGACAGCCCGCGGGGTTCTTCGTTCGAAGGTAAAACGCGAGGGGGTGGTGGCGAGAGGAAGAGAGCGCGCGCGGTACGAGCCAAAGCAAAGACTGAGTCTGTTTCGCACAGTTCCCTTCTGCTCCCTTTCCCTTCTGTTCGCCTCGACGAGCTACGACAGCTCTTTCATCCGCGGATGATTACCCACTGCTGTTCGTTGCTCTAAACAGACTCACCCTCCTTCCCTTTTTCGATTCCGCTTCGAGACTACTTACACGAATGAACCACAATTTGTCGTTGCTTACCGTTCGAATCGATGCAATACGCGTCAACGGTTCAACGTGTCCCGATCTCGGTCTCGGTCTCGATCTCGGTCTCGGTCCGATCGGACAGTCCGTCGTGTTGACGGACAACGAGAGGGCGAGTTCGGCAGCGATGGGATTACGACGGGAGGTCTTGTAATCGTTGAAGGGAGCTTCTTTAGGTTGCCGCTGCAGGCTCGTTTCCGGTCGTTCTCAGCGTTTACGTCACCTCGTTTCGCTACCTAGTCACAATTATACGCCGGCGGGAATAACATTTACTCGGCAGAGCCGCGCACGAGTATCGTGGACTTGACACATATCACTTGGTCGCGTGACTTGCCTGGTTCTTGGTGGCATCGCCTCGCGACGGCAGCTTAAACTTGTTTGAAACTTTGCGTCGCATCGCGTCTCGCCCCGTCCTGTCCCTTCTTGTCTCGTCTCGTCTCGTCTCGTCTAGCCTCGTCTGGTCTCCTCTCGTCCAGCTTGTTCTAATTTCAGTCCAGCACGATACGCACGATACGATAAGCCGCATCGGGCTGATCTCGATTCTTTATTTCGAAGCGTCGTTCGAGCGTCGAACATAAGACCGAAATTACACAAGTGTCAAGAAAACAGGCGTCGATCATGTTTCCTCGTTTCCAAGGAAAAATCTCCCTTGTTTTCCATTGGCAAAAGAAGAAGGGATTAACCGACGTCCGTCGATTTGACGTTCGCGCGACTCTGACCTAAAATGGTTAGTTCGTCGGAGGACGGTGGGGGGAATAAAGGACGGGGGAAGTCGATAAGACGGTAAAGGCGAAGCGGCGAAGCGAAGGGGGATGGAAAATTCGCGCTTTTCGCGGACGACGAAAGTTTCCTTCACGAATTAACGGTCGAGACGGGAGAAGCAATGTAAACCGAGATTATTATAATCTCTCCGAGGCTCGACGGCGGTAACATTAAACGAAAACACGCGTCCTTTGTTTCGTGTTTCGTAGTCCGCGCGGGTTGCTAGGTGGGCACACAGGTACACGTATATAGGGGTGCGGGTGCGGCGAGAAGTTGAAAGAATGCGAGAAAAGAGCTGCCATCCGGGAGAGGAGAGTTCGCCGGCGACTTTTCGATGCGCAACGAAATCTGGACGCGGATTAACTCGAAAGTTTTGCGATAATAGCGCAACACGGAAGAAAAACTACAGAACCGAGGAGCGTTCGTTTCGCGCCGCTTTGGTTAACGAGTCACGAACAAACGGCGAACAAAAATGGACGCTCCGGCTGCGGGCTGTATCGCGGGGGAGGGCCCCGACCCC